ACTGAGCCCTGGGGAACACCGCTCGTGACCGGCCACCAACTGGATTTAACTGCATTCACCACAACTCTCTGGGCCCGGCCGTCCAGCCAGTTTTTTACCCAGCAAAGAGTGCACCTGTCTAAGCCATGAGCCGCCATCTTCTCTAGGAGAATGCTGTGGGAGACGGTGTCAAAGGCCTTACTGAAGTCCAGGTAGACCATATCCACAGCCTTTCCCTCATCCACTTAGGCGGGTCACCTGGTCATAGAAGGAGATCGGGTTGGTGAAGCAGGACCTGCCTCTCATGAACCCGTGTTGGCTGGGCCTGATCCCCTGGTTGTCCCACACCTGCCTTGTGAGTGCCCTCAAGAGGAAATGCCATAATCAATGGAAACCACTATTCTCTGGAATAAACTTCTTTCTTTTCTTCAAACCTCTGTAGTGGTGGTATCTAGCATTACATGCCTGTTAAATTTGGTTGCAGATACTGTTTTTACAAGTGTTTTGGAGGATCGTTCTTTATTAGGAGTCTCTGGTGAGACCCCACCTGGAGTACTGTGTCCAGCTCTGGAGCCCTCAGCAAAGGAAAGACATATACCTGTTGGAGTGGGTCCAGAGGAGGGCCACAAAAATGATCAGGGGGATGGAACATCTCTGCTATGAAGAAAGGCTGAGAGAGTTGGGGTTGTTCAGCCTAGAGAAGAGAAGGCTTTGGGGAGACCTTATTGCAGCCTATCAGTACTTAAAGGGGGCTTATAAAAAAGACGGCGGCAAACTTTTTAGCAGGGCCTGTTGTGACAGGACAAAGGGGAATGGCTTTAAACTAAAGGGGGCTAGATTTAGACTAGATAGAAGGAAGAAATTTTTTACGCTGAGGGTGGTGAAACACTGGCACAGGTTGCCCAGAGAGGTGGTGGATGCCCCATCCCTGGAAACGTTCCAGGTCTGGTTGGAGGGGGCTCTGAGCAATCTGATCTAGTGGAAGATGTCCCTGCCCACGGGACAGGGACTAGGTGACCTTTAAAGGTCCCTTCCAACCCAAACTATGATTCTAAAACCAGAAAAAAGTAGAAGATGACTTCTGAAGGAAGACTAACTGGACAGATGTGTCAAGCATAGTGTAGGAATATTTCTGTACCAAGCAAACAGCTAATTCAGGCTTCCCGAGTAATTCTGAGATCTTCAGGATTTTCTGAACGCCATTTAATTTAGCTTTTTATGACATGGCTAAGTGTGCAGCTTTACAATGTTTGATACTATCTAGAATATTTTTATTTTGGGGGATTGTGCTTGTATTTTCTGTCATCAAAATTGTTTGCCCACCCTAGAGCTAATATGTCCATAAGGATGTAGATGATATCTGACAAACGTTGTCCTGCAGAGATGTGGCCTGGAGTTTTGAGAAGGACAGTTGTGGCCCAGTGCTATTCAAAATGGATAAGATTTGCATGTAGTACAAAGTCTGCTGCAGCTATAATGGCAACAGGCTGTTTTATTGTTTAATGGGATGGAGTGGAAAAATGTATTTTTAAAATAAATGTATCTATATTACTGTTTGCTGTAAATTAATACCCCTAATAAGGTCATCTGAGTTTGCTTTTCTGATGAGAATCAAAATTCAATTTATCATCTCAAAGTCTGATTTTCTGTTTGTTTTCATTTATACAACCCCCATTACAGAAATTAGGTCCCAGTCTTCATTACAGGTATTGTCAGCTCTCTTAAAGAAAAGTTAACATCACCTTTTAGAGAAGAAGAATTGAGGCACCGAAGGAGTAAGGGCCACCTTTGTAAGGGGAATAATGTGTTTATCGACCCTACTAAGATGCCTAAATCCAACATTTAGGTCTTACTTACATTCACAAAGCACTGTGAAATCCTAAATCCTTGTTTCGCAGTACCCGTGTTTCTGGTCTTGGCCTTTACAGTTCACTAAGCAGGGCCAGGACTGCTCCATCTAATCTGTGGTGTTCAGTGTCAGCCTGCGTCCTGAGAGCATTTTCATCCTGGGCACGGTCGGGGGGACAGCAGGAGCCTATGACTGGTCACAGGAGGCTGCGTGGAGAAGGCCTCTTTCTTCTGGGAGAAACGGCTGTGGTGATGCTCTCCTGCTTACGTGGTCAGAGGTAAGGCAAATCGTGGTCAGCTGAGGTTTTCAGAGTGACCGTGGCCTGCTTGCTCCTTTACCTGGGACGCCAAGACAGTCTGTGGCTGCTCCGACCACGAAGGGCAGGTGACTCCTCTCAGCAGCAGCTGCTGTCACCCCCACCCCTCCTGTCATTCCTCTGCCACCAGCATCTTGTTCCCCTGGATCCTCATCCCCCATGGCACTCACCACAAATCATCACCTTCCTTTTGCAGGGTGGGAGCAGCCAGTGCTGCCCCCTCATCCTTGGTGTGGCAAAACTTGGCAAATTTGGGTTTTTCCTAAACTGCTGAGGAGCTCTGAACCAACGTTGTCACGTGTAAAACAAAACACACACATGCTTTATTGGAGAATTAAGGGCTGATTCTTTTTAGAGCCTCCAACTGTAATTTAATTGCGAACTACCTTCTCAAATCTCCCAGGACTGCTTTTTTAATTCATTAAGTTTACAATTTGCAGTAAAGGAGAACTCGTGGAATTACCTGTGTGCCTTTGACCATTTTCAAAAATAAGTTAAGCCAAGCAAATTACCACATCCCCTTGGCTCACATTCATGGTAAGAGACATGTGAGACTCTGGGGGAGGGGGGAAGTTTCTGTGCATGTGTGACAGAGAGACACTGAGATGACGAGAAGAGCATATTAATCATTTATGCTGTCACTACACGTTTAAGCGGACCAAGGAGACAAGGGGCAAAAGGCAACCCACGCAGTAGTCTGCAAGTTAACACACTTGATTTCTTAGAAACAAAGTTCCTTGGTTAGAGCTACGTTCCCTGTGTTCAGACCGTGACAAATCTTCCCATAGCAGTTTAAGACATTATCATCCCTTCTGTCCTCCATAACCTTCCCTAAGAGGATGAATTCTTCATAAGGGAATATGTCTCAAGACAGCAAACTGTGAACTGGAGCAGGGAAGCGTGTCGCCTTCAGCTGACTGCTGTGTTACAACCGCCCTGTGCCGCGGCTGGGGCGGAGGCAGTGATGCTGGGCTCCGCTTGATTTCCCCAAAGCTCGTTTGCTGTAACCTGACCGCCGAGGAGATTTCAGCTCAGCTACCACCACTGATCGCAGCTACAGCAATATTTCACAGGAGGGGAAGGTGTTTTACTGCATTTACAAATGAGAAGATAAACCGATGGAGTTTAGGAATGAATTTACGGGGTGCTAAATATACTGTGATACTGTGTACAGAACCTAAATTCAGAAGGGATAATTCTGCAAAGTGTGAATGGGGGTATCTGGCTACGTTTAAAAGTGCGCATTCAGTATTCATGTTGGTAAATAGGACTACACTCAGAAAAAATCATATTCTTCATTAGAATAAATTATCATATATGATTTTTGTTTTGAGACTACCCAAAGGCATTGTACTCCACGGTGGAGTAATGGTCTCCTCACATACTGTTTTGAAAATCCGTGTCATGTCTCAGTCACCAGAGCTGGAAAATACTGATGAAGAGAGTGTGTGTGTGTGTGTGCATGTATGTATGTATCTCCTACCGGCAAATATACACATACCAATACATAACAAATATATTGCAATATTTTGTAATAGTTATTTATGAAGGCCAAATTATTTTGTTCCTAAATCTGTTGAAAAATATTCCTTTTTTCATTTGATATTCAAGGGTCAGATATCAGTTTGGAACAGTTCATGGTACCTAATCGTACAAGGGTGCATTGGTTGACTCTATGTTTTTCCTTTGTGAATCTCAAATGGCTACTTTTCCTTTAATTTTGAAGAGGACATTTTATGTATTAAAATGATTGAATACTGAATCTTATCTTAGCTGCTGCTACAAAAATGGAAGCCAAACAGGAGGTAATAGATTAATCTAAAAAAATGTCTTTCTGTAGTGCCAAGAAGTCAGGATTTTGGTTAATCTCTATTGTTATTCTTCTGAAGAGAGGGAAAATAAATAATACAATAATGAAATATACAGCATGTCATGAAATGGTTAGTTTTAGTATTTAGCTTCTGTTGTCTTTGTAGAGAAATTACAGTAAAGTTCCTTTCTCTTTTATGACACATCTGAGCTATCTTGCTTACATTACATTATTAAAAAAATAAATCACTAGCAGTTTTATGTAGACATACAATAGTGTCTATGACTATTTGTCTATGAGTGTTTGCATCCATCTAAGTAAAGTGAAATGTAAAACTTGGATGTGATCCTTTAATATATCCAAGTAATAAACTGGTATTGTGGTGTTGTGGGTAATAAAGCACAACTATGCATGAAGTACACCCTCGGCAAATAAATTAGAGTATTCTGTATACTCAAAATAATGGTTTCTCTTCCAGGGTGTGCATTAGATGGCAGTTAGTATGAAGGAAGTAATTAAAAAGAAGGGACTAAACAGAGACTAAGAGTGGGAGAAGGGGGAATGCTATGAAGAACAGACCAGAGGAGGGGGAAATGTGTCACTGTAATAAAAGCATTCATAGAAAGTTACTTTGAACATGAAATAGAGACTACATGAGCCGTCCTGTGCGGTGTGGGGTGGTTGGGGTTTTTTCATTCTTTTGTTTGGGAAAAATTCTACAGTAATTTCTTCTTTTTAAGACATTAAAATTAGCAGAGAACATAAAAATATCGGAAGTTGTTGACACATGTGTGAGTAAATCTCTTGTAAGATCTAGGCCAGGGGCAATATATCTGTACACATTTTTTAGCTTTAGATATACATCTATATCCATCTACCTCCCTATCTGTCTAGCTATATTCATCTTTTATGACCCAAACACAGCTGCAAGTAAGGAGTGGTTAACAAACTGTGGATTGAATGATCAGAATATCTTTTTCTGTTTTGACTTATGCCATCTGGAAAACAGTGACTGAGAAGAATATTTGGTAGCTAAAGCAATAAGCAACTGAACCTGCAGTTGTAGAGCAAGATTTTGGCTCATGCTGTGAAGTCTGTCATGAGATATTTGAGCTAGAGAGCATTGAGTTGAAGTTAGAGATGTGGTATCTCATGCTATCTGTAGCTCTGCTGACACTGTTGCTGGAAAACAGCAATCCAATGTTGTGCTTGCAAGCTGAGAGAGATGTTGGGAAATGAGAAAGATAAGATTTACAAGAATAATCAAAGGCCTAAGAAAATTCAATATATTTATGTAATTCTCAAGAGGTTGGGAAGTTGTTCAGACGTGTTCTCTGTAGGATACTCATCTTGTCCAACTGAGATCTCTACAGTGTAACTTTCTGCATCTGAGCTAGTTATCTAGACTTCTGTGACAGTCAGTGAATAGAAAAATTTTCCCTGTGCTATTCATCTCAACTTGAATTAGTAATTAAAATATGTCATACAATATTTCTGAAAGTGTTTTTTTACTTTCAACTGGCTCTAAAGAAAGTCTAGAGAAGTAACTCATGTAAAAATTGATAATGTAGATGTCCAAGGTAACGAAGGTGAGACGAATCCTACTCTTTGAACATTCAGGAGAAGTAGATGCCTGATAACAAAATGCTGTTAATCTACCAGAAAAAAAAGCGTAACAAGATGCAAACAATCTATTGATGCTCACAGATGTGTAGCTGGGGTGTAGAACTATTTCGCTCTTGTTAGGTCTAAACAGCAAGTTATCTTCTTTCTTCTTTTCTTTTCTAGAATGATTACAAGAAATTGTCTATGCAATGCAAGGATTTTGTAGTTGGACTCCTTGATTTGTGCAGAAATACAGAAGAAGTGGAAGCTATTTTGAATGGTGATGTAGAGATGAGCCATAATAATGGAGAACGTGGTCGCCCCAGCCTTAGCCGCTTAAAACTCGCCATTAAGTATGAAGTTAAAAAAGTAAGCAATTATGTTGATCAAACAGACATGTCATGATAGTGATATTAAATTGTGTTGTTATTAAATGTTTATGTTTTGGTAGCCTCTGACACTTAAATGAACATTTGGGCTGTTCTGCACAGTATATTTTACAAACAAAAGAATCCTTGCCCCAGATAGCTTGCAATATAACCAAGGAGTAGGTATTCGGGGTGGATACTGGTCACAGTGAGTATGAGAAAACGGCTCTAAAAAAATGTGTGGCTATATGCAAATTTTGTGGATACTTACTTGTTTTTAGTTTTAATCTATTTTTGAAAAAAGATGGAAGAAATTTGCACTACTTCTGCAGCCTGGAAAAGTATAAGATTTAATAAAAACCAGAGGATAGCACAGCAGTCCTGTGCACAGAATGATAACAAATACTGATACGCATTTTTGTCAAGCTGTTGTGTCTTACTCAGAAAGTTGAGAAAACTTAGTGAAATTGCGTGTTTCACAGAAAATGTATATTTGTCTGTATAGAGAGGATCAGAGACACAATGTAGGAGTAATAGTACTGTGGTTCTTACTTCTGAAGAAGAGCAGGCTGCAGGCAGTGTCAAATACAGGAGTTATTGTCCCTTCTTTGGCTTACTTTCATTTCTACTGTCAGTTTAATACTCTGGTCTGCATCTGAAAAGTGTTCAGTGAAACCAGCTGAGTTAGTAGCTGCACCAAGACCCTTGAATTACCCAGAAAACTTCTCTTGGATAGTATAGGTTGTAAAGTCGTATGTGACGTGTGTGAACCAGGGAGAAATGATTTGTGTGATGAAGTTTGTACAACTGAAGATCAAGAAGGTACAACTCAGGAATATACTTCGAAAGCAGGTTACCCTAAAGTAGAGCTGTCTCCTGACAGAGCAGCAAGACCTTTGATAAAACTTTTCCTTCATAGTGAAATGGATCAGATCAACACTGTGAAAATAAACAATATCTTATTTTAACAAAAAAAAATAGATAGGGAATCAGGACTCTTAAAAATCCAGTATAGACTGAACATACAGATCTAATTTATCAGGGAAGAGCTGCAGATTTTTTACAAAAACTGAGTTCACATCTCTGGGGGACACCTAAAACATTTATATGTGAGGAGTATTTGTGTGTTCATGAAGGGAAGAAAAGAAGAAAACCATTTTGACTGAAGAACACCTACCAGCATATGAACACAAACCTGCAAAACACTTGGCAAGCTACGGTCACTAAAGAGAGCTGAAACAACTTTTGAAGAGAAGATATCACATTGACCTTGTCCTTCATAGTATTTGAGTCTTAATCCTTCCTTGAATATGAACTTTCTTTCAACACTTTCTCTTGTCTGAATAAAGATATTTCTTGCACCTTCAGCCAATCATCCTTTAAATATAGAGAATTATTCTAGAAAAAAATACTAGATTCAGTTAAATTTTTAATTTTATTTCCAGGTCTCGACTTAAAAATTTATGGTGCACAAGAATCCACTGTTTGTTAATATCTACCTTTGTAAGATGCTTCTTATACTTTACAGAGGTTTTGACAGAAAAGAGGTTTATAGGCCAAACTTCTCAGTTTTGCAGACTTTGTCCAAAAGATTCCAGAATCAAGTTATAAATAGTTCTTAGCTGATTTCCTGCAAAAGTGACAGCTGTTTTTTTATGCCAGCTGAAAAAAAATGGTATTTTCCATTTTAGCACATGAAAATTTGGCATATTCCTTCTTTCATAACTAAAGACTATATAGCATCCTTTGCAGAACAGAAAGACTTAAAGTTTTGGAATTTCTGAAGTAGTAACATGAAACTTATAAATGCCAGAAAGAAGTAGAGTTTGCCTAGATAAGGTTTATGTTTAATTACCCTTAGATGGAAATTAATAGTTTGTGATGGAACACAATGTCAATAAAATAATAGTTTTTTAAATTAAAGGTTTTATTGTTGCTGATAGCAACATGCCTGCATGCTGGGAGATTATGCTCATCAAAAAACTTTCTCTCATACCCTTGTTAATGCTCCTTTGAATATAAGCTGAGTTGTTGCTGTTCCCACATTCTTAATGTGCTGGTATTTTAATAAAAGATATTCTGATAGCAATATTGTTTTGTTGTGCTTCTTTTCTTTGTTACAGTTTGTAGCACATCCAAACTGCCAGCAACAACTTCTCTCAATCTGGTATGAGAATTTGTCAGGTTTACGGCAGCAGACCATGGCAGTGAAGTTTCTGGTTGTTCTTGCTGTTGCAGTAGGACTGCCATTCCTTTCAATGGCTTACTGGCTTGCTCCTTGCAGTAAGGTCAGTCTGTGAAATCTTGTAATGGCCTTTTATTAACTCCTGTATCATCTGTATGTAGATTCCTGTCTGGCAAAGATGAAGCATGAGTATAAATTACTGACATGATTAAATAATACTTCAGAAACGTGTTATTTTAAAGCTGAGTTAGAATGGAATGGCTGCAAGACTGCATGTTCTGACAATTGTAATTAAGACAGGTAAATGTGTTGTGTTAAATGCACTGTATGTTAAATCAAATTACAATGGTTGAGCAAGAGTTGCCTTGTAGAAATTGTACTTTAGAAACGATGAGTCAAACTATTCTTCATTTAGTTGTTGCCTTAGTAGGCAGACGCAGAGGATCCTAATTTCCCATTGATTCAGAGTTAGACTAAGTTCAAGCTATGTGTTGATTCCAGTTACCTCAAAGGCAATTTTATTTTTGATGATTAAAAATTAATAGATAACAGTCACTGAAACATGAATGCCAGAAATTAAAACACTCATCATCAGTTTTCTAGAAGTCAAGTGAACTGTGTTGGCTTGTCAAGACAGTGCTAATACTCATTATATTCCATGAGGTTTTTAAAGCAGTCACACAGCCTCCTCTGCATCCATTTATAATGCACTGTCTGGATTTGGACGCTACCACTGTTTGGTTGCGTATCTCTACCGTAACAGGTATATATTTGTTTTGGATGATATTTAGTATGGAAAGCCTTTCCACTGAAGGTGGGTTACAATCTCTGACCTCTCTGAACTTTGTGTTGAATCTCTGTTTTAGTTGGTCACTATCCATTTTAAAGGGAGACTGATGGAAAATTTCCCTTGAGAGTATGTTAGAGGGAACAAATGAGATCCTATAAGGATTATTCAACAGTATACTACAGTATAACATCTATGATTTTAGCAGGTCAAATCCTGTGCACATACAATAATTCCAGGGGAAGAGGAAGGTTGAAAGAGAAGACTGAGGTCTTTGTGAGGTTTTTTTATTGTTCTCTGGGAGGAGAAAGGTGGGCCTTTTTTGTTTTGCCCTATTTTTCATTTCTTTCAGTCTGGACAATAAAAATCAGTTATATCATTTTCACTTTTCTGTATAGTGACTAGGATTTTTATGAATACTTTGTCTTAAAACACGCCTGGAGATTCAACATACTTCAGTAATTGGTTTTCAACTATAGCAGTGACTTATCTATTTGTCATTTTCCTTTTTCAATGATTTATTGGATCTTAAAGTGATTTTGAACTATTGTACATTCTGGAAAAGCTATTTCACAGTAGCTTTTTAAAGTCAAGGTTCAAGGAACAACATCCTTTAAGGTTTCACTTCCTCTGTCACTATTAATCATCTCATCGTGTGATTTATATGTTGAATGCTTTTTGTTTCATTATATTCTGCGAATGTAAAATCTAATCCACCTTTTTCACCAGTTGCCATTTCTTACCTTGTGCTTCACTCATACTTGAAAATTTGGTTCTTCTGTTTTCTGAAGGCAAAAATGTTCACTGTTTAATTTCAGAATAGGATGGCTCCAATACAGAACATGATCTGTATCAACAGAATCCATTCTGTGTATGAATTGATGGAATTTTATAAATCTCTTCTCCTCCTACCGGATAAAGTACCCATTATTTTTCCGGGTTTGGCACTATAGGGCACAGTGACAGAAGAGAGGGAAAATACTCACAGTATTTGTGGTGAAAATAACAGCTTGCAGTGGAGTTAGTCTGACACATTTCTTTATTTTCTCATGCCATGGCTCTGAGAAAGGCAAAAATGTCTTTATGACATTTCAACATCTCAGTCAGTTACCTGTATAGCTGACCAGTTTCCTCTTTAGGAAGAAGTTAATTTGAGCTTGGACCACAGATACTGAATTGAGAGGAAGAAATTTCATAGAAATATGTGGACAAAGTCCTGTTGATTTGGCAGGAATTCACTAGTGTCAGATGCCAAAAGGAATTAAGATTGCCCCTTATTTGAGTTTCAGCCAGCAATCCACATGGAGGCACTTCAAAGTTTTGTGAACTGTTTGCTCTGCATTTCTAATTGGTAATTCAGTCTAACTACTGACATAATTAACCCAAAACTTCTAGAATACTATTTTATTACATGACATTTTGAAAGACTAAAAACTTTTTTCAGTTATCTCCAAGAATCTCTATTGTCTGTGCTGTACAGCTCTAATTAATAATAGAATTTAGATTTTTAGCTCTATGAATTCATAAGTAATTCAGTCAGACCCTGGCCAAGATAAGGGATCTGAATTTGAAATTGAGTCTTCTTTCACTGTTCCCAGCCACCTGGGGTTGGCATTTCTAAAGAACTTGATAAGTCCCTACAAGCTTTCTAGAAGCATGTTCTGAGGGTTATACACATTCCTCTTTTGCACTCTGGTAAAGGAAAAGAAATTGAACATTATGTCCAGTATATGAGGAGCTAGGAAGTTGTTCTTCCTAAAAAAGTATATGCATTATCTTTTTTTTGTTATCAGGCCTTTTCTCCTTTGTGATAGATGTGCTACCTGGAGTCCTATTTTATCATTTCTTTATCAATGCCACACTCCATAATGTTACAATACTGATTGTTTCTGCAGAGTCACAAAGGTGGAATAATGTGAATCACTCACTCCAGTTCCCAACGATTTCAGGTGACCCTATATACAAACAAATACATGTTGAAGTATCCACAGTATAACTATTGTACATCTTGTCATAACCTAAACCAACCTATAAAACACTCTCCAAAACGCTATAGCAAACCAAAGCACAGAGGATCAGAAACCAGAAAAAACCCCAAAACAAAATCCAAAATCAAAAGCACTTAAATTACAGAAAGAGATTCAGAGCATTTAGAAGATCATGTCCTTGGTCTGTGCAATGGGAGGGGATTTATTATGTCAAAATGCACAGTGAAAGTGTATTAAGGAGGGACTCTAGCTTATAGAAAAGTCCAAACTTGCAAGATTATGGCCTTGTCTTTACATGTTGCTCTTTCCTTCCCTGATTTGTATTTTCTGACCTATATCTTCTCTGTAAAGAGATTCGGAATTTTAAAAGTAATTTCAATATTTTATTAGTTCACTGTTATATGGCAATGTCATAATAACTTCCAGCATTTGTGTAATCAGTTCAACCGTAGTCAGTCTTGCTTCCAGGGAGATTTTACTATATATATATGTAAAAAATACTTTTCTGTCTCTTTTGAAGTGGTGGTGGTGGTGGGGCGCTAGGAGTTCAGTCTTTTAAATTTTGTATTTTTTGATCAAGGGATATATTAACATTACCTCCTTCAGTATTTTTTCTTCTTTTCTGGCTATGTCTCTTTCTGGCATCTGTCTTCTAACCCATCTTCATTTGTGAACACAAGAATAATGCATTTAAAAGGACACTGTCAAGGTACTTTGTAACTTTCCAGCTCTGCTTTATTGTGTGTTGTTTATGACTGTTCCTTCCTAGCTTGAACTAAAATCTTTCCCCGTGACGATTAACTGTTCTCTTTGTAGTTCACACAAAATAATTGGTTGTTGAAGTTCATCTCATGAGTCTGATGGAATATTTTATTTAATAAAAGATAAATTAATTTTATTGAGTGAGAAACATAATGAATGGCATGGGTTTGCAAAATAATATAAAGGAGAAAGAAGATCAAATTTTGTGCCTGATAACCTTGACAGTGTTCCTTTAACAGTATCTTCTTTTTACATTTGTCTAGTTTTCTTAATGCTATCTGTACTGGAGACCTTACCATCGCATCCTCAGCTGCATCTTCTTATTCTATATTTCTGTAAAAGCTGACTATAAGGACAGCAAAATTCTGACTGTGATATTGAAACAAGTGTAGCAAAAATATGAATACCAATAGCTTATCTTTCTGCTTTCCCCTCCCTTTTCCAGACCACAGATTGTTATATGTTTCAGCTGAGATCAGTGACACTTGCTTTCAATTCTTTCCAAGGAAATTTTTGTCAGATACAGATACTGTCTTCATCTAAAATAAAAAAGTATTTTTCTGCAGTTGCCAACTAAGTGAACAAGCTAAGACTTTTACTATTAATACAGGCACTCTCAAAACTAAAGTAAATAATTGCTAAAAGTTCAGCCTTGTGTGAGTTTGTATGGAACCTCTAGGTTTTTTAAGTGTTGCACTAAACCATTTTAAATTGTTCTTAGTCATGACAAAGTTGAGGACATTTCCATTAAAGGAGTCAGGAAGGAAATTAAGACACTACAGAACTATAAACATAACCTTTTGAGGCCTCATGACTTTTTTTAAAAAAGAAAATAAGTTGGGAAAACTGCACAATAACTGTGCTAAATTGAGTATCGCGTCAGTCAGGAAACAGAATTCTTCAATCATAATTCACTCCTGGTGATAATTTAATGCTTTTAGTAAGTTTCAAAATCTCATTTTCTTTGTTGCCTCATAAAGATGACTAGCATGTAGGAAATTCAATAACTGTAATAAATTTTTCTCTTGATTACCTGTAATAGACATAGATGCCCCCAAATAATTACAGAATTATTTCAAAACACTCAGTTAAAAATACATATATGGTGAAACTGATACATTATCCCTCTGACAACAGCAAATAAGTAGAAACTTTTAAAGGTGACTGTCAGCATGGCGTCATAGGATACAACTTTTTCCAAATATTTCCTCCTGTGTGTTATTGAAATATATATTTCTCTGTACTTTTACTGTTCTTTTTATACATTTTTATTTTGGAAGAAGGCAATGCAATATCCTTGTGTTTCATAACCTCTCTTGCAGCTGGGGAGGATAATGCGTGGACCGTTTATGAAGTTTGTAGCCCATGCAGCCTCTTTCACCATTTTTCTTGGTCTACTTGTCATGAACGCAGCTGACAGATTTGATGGCACCAAACTCCGACCTAATGAAACAACAGGCAATGTAAAACAGCTATTTAGGATGAAAACATCCTGTTTCTCATGGATGGAGATGCTGATTATTTCTTGGGTAATAGGTAAAGATTAATTTTTGCTTAAATTTGTCTTGCTATGGTTTCAGTGAAGTTGGACCCAATTTAATCCTTTGCTATTAATGTTATGTGTAAAAATTGCAACAAAAGGAGTTTATTCAACTGGCTGCATTCCCACATTGGCCTCATGTTTCTTATTGGATGTCAGCAGGATTCACATGTGCCCAGTTAATCACAAACATTCAGGTTAAGGACTTAGGTGAAATCTGCGTCATCTGAATATGAATGAATTCAGTTTTATGAATATCAGAGGAAAGCGTCTACCAGTTTTCTGGGTTTTTTTGAGTCAGGCTGTGTCAACTCCCAAGGGGAAAGATTTCCACATCATGGGCCAAGTTTTTTGTATCTAATTGTCTCTTTCTGCTAAGATTCTCTTATTTTGCAAGTATGCCCGCAGAATTCATAGTGTATAGCTGAATGTATTATTGACAAAAGAGAAGCAGAATATAGACCCCTGAACAGTCAGTGGTAGATTTTTCCGTTCCAACACAGGGATGAAATTAATACTATGAATAGTACTGTGAGCTGACCCATTCAATTTGGTGATGCAGTACTAGTCAACATAAGAACTTGAGCACAGACCCTCAAAAATATTTTAGCTGTCTGATTCTTATTTACAAGTCTAATATCGTTTATTCCAATGAGGTTTAGATGCCCAAGTACTTTAAAGAGCTGGGTTCTGGTTGTTAGTTAAGTCAGTAATACAGGAGAGTTAAATTCAAGCTAAGTAAAATCTGTTTCCATTCAAGAGCTTATGCATTTAAAATATTTTGCTTTTGAGCTCTCTGTTATTCGAATTGGAGCCATTTGTACACCAACTGATTCTTATAGCTTTAAAAGACATTGACAATCTTTATTTATTTCATCATATAGCTGTATATAAATTAATATAATTGTGTGTTATGGGAATAATATGGCACTTAGATTTCCAAATATTCTGTAAATATCAGTGTTTTCATCTGATAATAAAGGAGTAAATAATAATTTTCCAATTTGAAGTTCTAGTTTGCTATTTTAATCTATTTTTATTTATTTCAGTGTCATGCATAAGACAGTTTTTGAAAAATTAATTCAGTGCATACAGATGTAGCATTGAATTTAATTACTGTAATTAACATTATAATTGTCCTTACCTGAAAATGATGAAAAGTTCCTTCAGACAATGCGATAACTGCAAAAAATAGTGACATTATTCCAATTCATTTTTTTATTAACTCTCTTTAGAATCCTAGAAATGTACTTCATGATTAAATAAATTTTATCTTGAAAAGGAAAAGGATTTGCTCAATAAAAAGGATGCCATAAACTAATACTGTACTCCTATATTTTATTATTAAGGGGGAATAATTAGGAATCAAACAGATACCTTTCCTCTGTTGAAGAAGCATTAGGTCAGATTCTTACTTTCATGCTCATTTGTCACATATATTTGCAATTTCAGTAAAATAGACTGTAGCCAGGGTACTCTGCGAATAAGAACATGTGAATTCTGCTATTAGTTCTACCACTATATGATCATGCCAGAGCATTTCTGCTCTTTCAGTCTCTTTCTGTGTCTGTAACAGATGGTAATACTCACATCCCATTCTTCTCTTTGAAAGCTTTTGTAGTTGTATAGGAAAAAGAAGTATGAAAGATTGTGATTATTACTCACATGAGAAAGAAGTACTGGAATGTATATGAATTGGCAGGTTCAAGGATTTTAGTTTGTGTTCGAACTCCCACTGACCAAAATGGTTTTGAGTTTGACTGCAACCAAGAGCATATCCTATACATAATAAAATATCAAATAAAACAAACATGAAGATAAAAGAACACACTGTTTTTTCTGTTTTGTCTTATACAGGCATGATATGGTCTGAATGTAAAGAAATTTGGTCTCAAGGTCCAAAAGAATACCTTTTTGAGTTATGGAATATGCTTGATTTTGGTATGTTAGCAATTTTTGCAGCATCATTCATAGCAAGGTTTATGGCATTTTGGCATGCGTCCAGAGCCCAGAACTTCGTTGATGCAAATATGAAAGATCTGACAAGTCCAACACTGGAGCCCAACATAAAGTACTACACTTTAGGTGAGTTGATTGCACATGATTACGACTTACTTCTTGGGCCAAGATGAATTGATTTGCTGTTAATGTCTCCAATACTTTAGTTCCACAATGTACTGCTTAAGAAATTCCCACCCCTTCTTCTCTTTCTCAACCCTACTCTTTGATCACAGTTCCCTTGGCTATGCTCATACATCTCTTTGGGGTCTGTTCTAGGCATCAGGCACTGAAATGATCTAAGATCAAAATAACCCCACTGTCACCCCACCCCTTTTCAAGATTATTTTGATCCAGGTCATTTCATCTGTTCAGTTACACAACGCTATCCTGCAAACACTTGTGTTGGCACAACTGTGAATGTAATGTACTGTAATGCAGGGGCAGAACTAAGCAATGAGATGCAGGAACTTCTTAAACCTGCTTTGCCAGCATAACCAATGTATCTTTTACATATTCTTTGCTTAGAGACTCTTATATTATTTTAATATTTCTCAATCCACCCTCTTTACCAGTAAGAGATAAAAATGTTGACAAACTTGCTTGGCATATATGAGAAGTGACTAGAAGCTATTTTGCCCAAATGAGAAAAAATTAAGCTCTGTTTACTTGTGTTCACTCTCAACACCACCACATCTCTCTTCCCTTTATTAGATATTTTTCTCTAGATACTGAATTACATTAGTTTCTATCTCTATTCTATGCCTCAAATACTATTTCTGATAAGGCTGCATTTCTTCATTATCCAGGCTGTAGAAAAAGGAGAGCAATTAATATATATATTCTGAAACACATTAAATTGTAGTCATATAAATTTTACTGGAAAGTTACAAATTTCACATAAGTTATAAAAGCAGCTAGTTAAATATTAGTTCAGTTTTCAGTAACACCCACTTGAAGAATTTGCAAACAGGGACTAGTTGTGTTCACAGTTTTTGGGTATGACAAGCACAAGTCTTGTAACTCATTTATGCTATATAATACTGTATCATCTAGCAAGGCAGTTTCTGTTGACATCAGTCATGAGTTGTGACTTTGTTATGCACTTAAGCAGTGTTGAGCCATTTTTAGTGTAGAGAATCACAGAATCATTTAGGTTGGAAAAGACCTTTAAGATCATCGAGTCCAACCATAAACCTAACACTGCCAAGTCCACCACTAAACCATGTCCCTAAGCACCATGTCTACACGTCTTTTAAATGCCTCCAGGGATGGTGATTCAACCACTTCCCTGGGCAGCCTGTTCCAGTGCTTGACAACCCTTTCAGTGAATAAATTCTTCCTAATATCCAATCTAAACCTCCCCTGGCACAACTTGAGGCCATTTGCTCTTTTTTTATTGCTTGTTACTTGGGAGAAGAGGCTGACACCCACCTCGCTACAGCCTCCTTTCAGGTAGCTGTAGAGAGCAATAAGGTCTCCCCTGAGCCTCCTTTTCTCCAGGGTAAACAACCCCAGTTCCCTCAGCCGCTCCTCATAAGACTTGTGCTCCAGACCCCTCACCAGCCTCGTTGCCCTTCTCTGGACACGCTCCAGCACCTCAATGTCTTTCTTGTAGTGATGGGCCCACGACATCCTTCTTGTAGTGAGGGGCCCAAAACTGAACACAGTATTCGAGCTGCGGCCTCACCAGTGCCGAGTACAGGGGGTACAATCACTTCCCTACTCCTGCTGGCCACACTAGTTCTGATACAGGCCAGGATGCCAATGGCCACCTGGGCACACTGCTGGCTCATGTTCAGCCGGCTGTCGACCAACATGCCCAGGTCCTTTTCCGACAGGCAGCTTTCTAGCCTCTCTTCTCCAAGCCTGTAGCATTGCATGGGGTGAACCCAGCACTTACCCGTTGTTGAACCTCATACAGTTGGCCTCGGCCCATCGATCCAGCCTGTCCAGATCCCTCTGTAGAGCCTTTCTACCCTCATGCACACTGAAATCTGCTTGGAGAACACCTATGTGTGGTCGTACTAACATTAATAGTGAATATTTAATGCCACAGGTTTTATCATAGGCTAGCTAACATAACTTGGTGGACACCACATTGAACATGAGCCAGCAAAGGGCCCTTGTGGCAAAGGCGGCCAATGGTATCCTGGGCTGCATTAGGCAAAGCATTGCCAGCAGGTTGAGGGAGGTGATCTTGCCCTCTACTCAACACTGGTGAGGCCACACCTAGAGTCCTATGTCCAGTTCTGGGCTTCCCAGTACAAGAGAGACATGGACATATTGGAGAGAAGGGCCTATGAAAAGCCACAAAGATGATGAAGCGACTAGAGCACCTCTTCTATAAGGAAAGGCTGAGAGAGCTGGGATTGTTCAGCCTGGAGAAAGGAAGGCTCAGGAGGGATCTCATCAATGTATATAAATACCTGAAGAGAGGGTACAAAAAGAATGGAGCCAGGCTCTTTTCAGTGGTACCCCGTGACAAGACCAGAGGCAATGGGCACAAACTGAAACACAGAAGTTCCCTCTAAACATCAGGAAACAATTTTTTACTGTGAAGGGTGACCAAGCACTGGCACATGTTGCCCAGTGAGGTGGTGGAGTCTCCATCCATTCAAATGCCATCTGGACATGATCCTGGGTAACCAGCTCTAGGTGGCCCTGCTTGAGCAGGTGGGTTGGACCAGATGACCTCCAGAGGTCCCTTCCCACCTCAGACTTTCTGTGATAATACAGCTCATCTGGAAACCTAAAAGACATCTGGCTACTAGCCCATACTGAAACATCTGCCATCTTTGATTTTAGTTATCCAATTAAATTTTCTAATAGGTTGGGATTCAACTCCCAAAAAGTTACTTCGGTGATCTTACAGTGCACCTTTATAATCAATGGAAATCTAATCAATATAGTCAGTGGAGCTGTGAAATGGTTTTAGCGCTACCTGGCTCAATTCAATTGGCCAAACATAAGCAGCTAGTGCCATTTGAATTGCCAAGGTGCTGCTCCAAAAAGACCTCACACAGATCTGTGCAAATAATCTTGGATACCCTGGGCATCTCAAATGGCAATGGATGTCTTTGTTCAGGTATCTGAATCAAGCCCCAAGCGCTCACTAGGCTGCACTGACTATACCTCCCATTTGGATAGATGTCTTTGAGATTAAGACATCTTAATCTCAAACTGAAGCACAAATGGTTTCTTATAGTTAAAAATTACACTTCTGATGAAGGTGTGAAAAGAAGAGAGTAAAACATAAGTAAAAAAATAAAATGCTTCCCTAGCCCTAGCATAGTAGATGCTATATCCCACTTCTGTTTCAGTCTTAACAAGGTATCTTCTGTTCTTTCACTTTTATTTCTAGCGGCATCTTCATGCAAGACATTCGCTGAGCACCATGATGTAGTGGACAACCACTACTGGCACTATTTGAGCAGTCATACTTGGCACACGGAAGCCCAAGTTAACACTTAAGTATTCACAGCTCTCAGTGAGGAAGCAGATTTTCTATGTGTTTTTTAAGTTTGAAAGGGTAGAAAGTAACTGCTCCTTACTTTTAGACAACAAAGTCTTAGAATTTTTCTGCAAGTGAAAATTGCTGAAAATTCATTATGCAATGTACAATAAAGGAAAAAAAACCACGAAGACTGCGTCTTATCTGTTCCAAATTTGCATAGCACCATTGCATTCCATTCCAATTTACACTGACTGGTTCATTGTTACTCACCAAAAGAGAGTACTTCAGTGAACAGCCTTAGGTGGACTTTGAAATAATGACCGAAATTCTCATCTTTTGTTTCTAGCCAGAATAAACTGGGATCCGTCTGATCCTCAGATCATATCTGAAGGCCTGTATGCAATTGCGGTAGTATTAAGTTTCTCCAGAATAGCCTACATCTTACCAGCTAATGAAAGCTTTGGACCACTGCAGATATCACTTGGCAGAACTGTGAAAGACATCTTCAAGTTCATGGTGATATTTATCATGGTGTTTGTGGCTTTCATGATAGGCATGTTTAATCTCTATTCCTACTATCTGGGGGCAAAACAAAATGAAGCATTCACAACGTAAGTACAACTGATTAAATTGTAATGATTGTGGGCTATTTTTATGGAAAGTCGGTTGTTTGCATTGTATGTATTAAGTTTACTAATGGTTTTATAAGGTTTGCATCTCTTAAAAATTAAGTAGTAATTTTCTCTCTTGTTCTGGTGCTTAAAGGATATATTTGAAATCAGATGATGAGCTCTTGATCCCAGCAATACTATGATAAATCAGAAAAGACAGTCTGGGAAGGTGAGATGTAGT